GGGCTGTGTTTAGGTGATATTCAGACCAGACATCAGGTAAAATCAATGTCGGAGCCCCAGTTTATTCAGGAGTCGTCTGGTATGCCTCAATGTAGTGTATTTGGCAGAAAATGGATACGTATACTTATTTCGTTTGGCTAAAAGAAATAGTTCTTGTAGCTGGATGATCACATGTCTTCGCTGTGGAAATATCGAGATCGTGCGAAACCTCATTGGTGACAGGCCAAATTGTTCCTTGCATAAATACTATCCAGTAATACACCAAAGAGCTGTCGCATAACCTTACTTATGATTATGTATATTTTTCAGTAATAGAGCAAAACCTGCAATTAAAATGAAACAATATACTTGTCATGGTAACATAATAATTTCAGATACTATATTTTTCCGATCACTCCGATTAACTAAATCACCGGTAGATGGCGGGGAAAAGTGTGCACAGCTGATTGCCATTTCCGACGGTGTATACGAGGCAAATGCACACGCTATTTCTAATCCCTGAATATAATACAATGCCTAGCAAAAACAAATTAGAACTGAAAAGATACATAAAATTGTTTAATGATATTTAATTGAAAATTTTACGTCTTTACTGACAAAATAGTCTTCTCTTGTTCGTTCACGGGAAGCGATACGATGTCGTTTTCTTACCCCCCGAATGAAATACTACATATCTGCCTGTCTTCATCAGGGTGTTGATTTCCTATAGAGGTTTTCGGTGTTTGAGTATGAGAATATTTCATATTTAGTTGTTTGTTAATCTTAACATATCCTCAAAACTTATTCCATAGCAAACCATGAGTGGTAAACAACGTAACCTAACCTAAAGGAAGGGCACATCGGCACTTGAGCGGGAAACAAGTTAAGCCAAATGATAAATGTTTGTTACAGCAGTGTAGGAAAGATAGCCCGTCCCAACGTCCGAGACGGGTGAATTTTGTGGAGGACGGGTTAAAAAAATATCTAGTCCGTCCTCATGTCGGGTCAATTTTAGCAAACCAATGACATATATATAATGATTATAACCTTTTTGAATATTTACTGCCGAAGGTGTTTTTTTTATATTTGGAGGACAGGCTACATTTTGGCAGGACTGGTAAAAAAATTGACCTGCCAGTCCTGTGGACAGGCTAGATCTTCTACATCTTTCCTACACTGGTTACAGCATAATATTTTTAGAAATATTACAAGTAATCATAATCTCAGTGTTTATTCTAACTAGTCTGGTTTGTTTGACTGCATCATATTTGAGAAAATTAAGCACAAAAGTATCAATTGATTGTATGTGCGATGTTACACATCGGAAACAAGATAGTCAGTTTCATGCACACATATGAAAGACAATTTTCTCGGCGAGCAAGACACTGAAACACATAAACAACCAATGGGCGACATGTTTCAAATAAGCAGACACAGAAATGTATACACGTATATAGTATTAAACAGCAAACATTGTGTGACATATATGTGTATATTACATAAGCGACCATTGGCCGACATATATATATTCGACCTTGGGCGACAGTCGCCGAAAGGTCGCATATATACATGTACGCCGTACACTTTACTTTTGGGCGACACGGTATGGGCGACACCAAAAATATATTCTATATTTGTATGTAACCCAAATAGAATAATAAATCAATGTAAGTTTGTAATATACGTCAATGTCGCCCAAAGGTCGCGCAATTTATAGTACTGTCACCCAACGGTCGGATTTGCCCTTATATATATATATATATCCTTAAAATGCCACAGGAATATGGTTGGCCATGGCGGATACAATGTAAACGAACCGTACTGTAGTAAACGACCTTTGTAAATTTGAGCTTCGTTGCTGGTAAGCAGGAGAAAGATCTATGGCACCGCTTGAAGTAAAACTCTCTATTCATGTGGAAGATGCTGGATTAGACAGATACAGCCAAGTCATTGATGCCAAGTTTCTATTCGTTACTTAATTATGTTGGAAACAGATTCAGTTTCCATTTCAACCAACATGGACAGGTTTTGCCCCAAATACATCGACCATTTTGTAATGCATCAATCTCGGGTAAGACACACCGGATCCCATGCAAGCTTGTCATGGCGTCATAAACAAGATAACCGGCCTGACATTAAGTGATCCACTCGTCTTATTCGGGACAAGCCGAATACCGACTCGTGCCCCCCTGGGAGGATTCCATGTTGAATATATGAACATCAGAACTAATTCAGACAAGAACAACAACTCAATTTCTGTTTAATTCCAATAGAAACAAGTGTTTGCCACTGATATGGCAATGTCCCCCGCCGCTAAAGAATGGAACATCTATATTTACTATTTTTTATTTTTGGTCACACACACGATGCCTGAAATGACTGGTGTCTGCATAATCACCCAATGTAGGCTGTCAACAAAATTGAAAACATTGGGTGCAATGTTTTATGAGATATCGCGTTTAAATAAGTTTAAATGTGGTCAAAGTGTTGTGGTGACCTTGAAGATAAGGTCAAGGTCACGCAAATCGACTGGTGTCTGCGTAATAACCCAATGTAGGCTGACACCAAATTTGAAGACATTGGGTACAACAGTTCATGAGATATCGCGTGAACAAGAGTTGGAAAAGTGGTCAAAGTGTCGTGGTGACCTTGAAGATAAGGTCAAGGTCACGCAAATCGACTGGTGTCTGCGTAATCCCCCAATGTAGGCTGACACCAAATTTGAAGACATTGGGTACAACAGTTCATGAGATATCGCGTGAACAAGAGTTGGAAAAGTGGTCAAAGTGTCGTGGTGACCTTGAAAATAAGGTCAAGGTCATGCAAATCGACTGGTGTCTGCGTAATCCCCCAATGTAGGCTGACACCAAATTTGAAGACATTGGGTACAACAGTTCATGAGATATCGCGTGAACAAGAGTTGGAAAAGTGGTCAAAGTGTCGTGGTGACCTTGAAAATAAGGTCAAGGTCACGCAAATCGACTGGTGTCTGCGTAATCCCCCAATGTAGGCTGACACCAAATTTGAAGACATTGGGTACAACAGTTCATGAGATATCGCGTGAACAAGAGTTGGAAAAGTGGTCAAAGTGTCGTGGTGACCTTTGAAAATAAGGTCAAGGTCACGCAAATCGACTGGTGTCTGCGTAATCCCCCAATGTAGGCTGACACCAAATTTGAAGACATTGGGTACAACAGTTCATGAGATATCGCGTGAACAAGAGTTGGAAAAGTGGTCAAAGTGTCGTGGTGACCTTGAAAATAAGGTCAAGGTCACGCAAATCGACTGGTGTCTGCGTAATCCCCCAATGTAGGCTGACACCAAATTTGAAGACATTGGGTACAACAGTTCATGAGATATCGCGTGAACAAGAGTTGGAAAAGTGGTCAAAGTGTCGTGGTGACCTTGAAAATAAGGTCAAGGTCACGCAAATCGACTGGTGTCTGCGTAATCCCCCAATGTAGGCTGACACCAAATTTGAAGACATTGGGTACAACAGCTCATGAGATATCAGGTGAACAAGAGTTGGAAAATGGTCAAAGTGTCGTGGTGACCTTGAAAATAAGGTCACGGTCACGCAAATCGACTGGTGTCTGCATAATCCCCCAATGTAGGCTGACACCAAATTTGAAGTCATTGGGTACAACAGTTCATGAGATATCGCGTTAACAAGAATCGGGAGCTGTTACAAATTCTGGTATAGATACACTAATCAGTTTAAAATAATCTCAAACTGAACAATTTGTGGAGAGTCCAAACATAATATATGTACGGGATGTCTACCAGTTGTCTGAACTTGCCTGTATGGCATTGCTGCCATAAACCTGGTGACATTTAAAATTAGTACGTTGAAAAGATGTATGAAGGACTCAAAGAAAAGTCAGACTACAATATCCCCAGTGAAGTGAAATGTAAGCACAGTGCTTAAGTTTAAAGTTGATAAGTTATATATAAATAGATTGCTTTCAATCTCGTAGCAATTTATAATTACATTACCTCAATATGTTGCAAAGCGCACTTAAAATCTCGAAAACATGCCCGCAAGATCGTTAGTGAAAACACTCAATTGGAAACATGAGAGCCGTGTGTATTTGAATTTCTCATCGTTTCTGACCCTATCCTTATTAAACACTACATATTAGACAACACAATTCTATTGGATGTGTTCTGTACAAGGTCAAATTGACGATATATATTTTTCAAGATCTTGTAAACAATTACAAAATGCCATAACGATACAAATACTCGGGATTATACAAACGAGCCGTCTGAGTTATTTACACATCCCTTATGTTTTTAACAAATACGATTAGTTTTGTGTTTATGTTATGTGGTTTCACTAACTGCCAATAGGGAGCTGAAAATCTCGGAACTTGCACATCATGAAATGTCCTTGATCCACTCTTCATCAGCTGATGAACGTCAACAAAATGACCACAACTTAAAAGTGCAAAAATTGCTGAACACAAGTCATCAGTATGCAAACAAAATGATAAGTCAGCTATATCGGAGCACAAGGCAAATAACCCAAGTCATGTAATCATGTGGAATGATATTAGGGTGATTTCGAGAAATAACAACGACTGACGTCTGAGAAAACTACAGGAAGCTGTCGAGATAAGGAGACATAAACCAGCAATTAATCGTGATCAAGGTGTATACCTGCCAAGTGCGTGGGACCTCTTGATTAACTTTTGATGAACTTAAGATAAAAGGAAAAACGAGTCTACTATTCTTTTTGGAAAGCAATTCAACTTTCAACTCTATTATTTAGCATGAATTTTCATCATTATGTAATTAACTCTTCAAACTCACTTATACAGTACTCTCCCTAGTGTACTGTGATGTCACTTGCATTGTGACGTCATAACTCAGTTATGACGTCATAGTGACGACGTCATAGTCCTAACTGCCAGTTCACCTGATGAAGGGACCTGGAATGGTCTCGAAATGTTGTGAGAGAAATTAAAAAAGAAGTTTAATCCATAAAAATATCTTGGACATGCAAAAATTTAGTTTGCTTTTAGATAGTAGCTCAATAAAACCTGGGCACGTATTTCACTTAGATCTTCTTTTGTGTTATCTTATTGTTCAATTAACAGCTATTCTTCCGTAGAATGTTAGTTGTCTCACTGTTGGGCATTGTATATATTTTTCAGTGTTTCTGGCCACTGCTTACCCATTTTACAATCTATAGTTCGAAAGTTGAAATAGCAAACTGGGTGGTTTGGAGTTCTTTTTGTGTCCTTAACAGTTATCCGTATTGATAGTCTGTACAGTTTGATTTGTCTGTGTATTGAAGACCGATACTTTATAGTGATAAGAATTATATATTGCAGATGCATTGTTAGATTTAACTCACTCTAAAAATTCATTCTGATATTCGTTTGCGGAACATAAACCTTACCTTCTACTTTTAAAAGGCACTTCCGTACATTCACGTCGCCAGTGCCTTGCAAGGTGACGACGCATTTGTACTCCCCTGCGTCATTTTCCTTGACATCCTTTATATCAAATCCAACGCTGTCAGTCCTATTCAGTCGAAAACGGCCCATGTAGTTTTTGTTGATTATCAGTGTGTCCTATAAAAAAAAAAGTGATAGGCATTTAGAGGGAGGCATATATTTCCAAAGAGGTGTGTGTGTGTGTGTGTGTGTGTGTGTGTGTGTGTGTGTGTGTGTGTACACACCTGTGACAATGATTCATTGTACGACTGGGCAATCTGTGTGTCGTTGAAATACCATTCAACGACAATGAATGGAGGAACGTCATCTGTCCAGGTTATAACACAATTTTCGCCACTATAACAAGTCATATTCCCCGATTGGTCGTTGGCATCTGCATGATCTGAAAAAACGAACAAAGATGATGACCATAAAACAGACAGACCTTATTGATAAAATACACAAACCACACCAACTGGAGTTATGAGAGACTATGAAGTAAAACAGCAAAGAATATTTTAAAAAATAAAATAGCATAAAAGGTTAGTACAGTTTAAGATCATTTGAATAGATATACACTTCGAGCATGTAAAATATCCCTGCAGGTTTTGGCACTAATACATATAAATAAAGGGTTGGCTAAACGTAACATAACTTTTCAACATCAGACAGATCTCTAACATTGAGTATGATATCATGCAGCGGCGGCGTCCTGATGTGATTGTAAAAGAGGCAATGTAATAAGACGTGAGATTCATCCTCAGTTTTGTAGAAGCAGGACAGGTTTTCATATCTTCACGTTTCCATCTTTAAAGGGGCAATTCCACATTTAAAAAGCGTAAGTGCTCGCCTGTTTGCACGATTCATATTACATGACAGATAACTTCACATGAATATGTTATTTTAAAAGTCTTGTACACTCGTATCCATGCTTTTCCCATGCTGTCAACCTTCTTTCTGTAAGTTCTCCTTCTATTCACTTGTAAACTTATTCATTTCACTTTTCTCAATAACGTGACCGATATGTCGTTTACAATATTTCACAGTAGTGTTTAAAAAGTTGGAGAGTTCGTATTCTCTAAATTTTCTGTGTACTCTTTTATTCCCAATTCCACTTATGCTTCCGTGCATAGTTGTCTGCCTATACAAATACATGTATAGCTCTGTTGGTCCTGGTTTTCTCCATGTTGACTAAACGTCCCCACTGCTTTCCACTGTCTCACGATAGGCGGGGTCCAGGCTAGCTCCCCTTGCACTGCTGCATTGGATGTGTATTTACCGACTCCGAGGAAGTATCCCATAGCTCTGTGCTGCACTGTGTTCACTGCTGAGTGGTCTAATGTGCCCAATATAGCTGCTACCACAATCCAGTTTAGACCAGACTATAGCATCATACAACTTTTTAAAGGTTTTATGATGCATTCCACCTAAGGCTTTAGATTTGGCGATGAAGAGACCAGGCAACCCACTTGCAGATTTTGCTGCTGTTTTTGAAATTTGGTCGTAGTCTAAAACTTCTGTCAAATGAAGGCCGAGATATTTGTAACAGTTAGTTGTCTCTAATGTTTTGCTTCCACAGGCGAATTTAAAATACGATTTAGTGATAGACGGGGTCGTAAAACGCACCACATTAGATTTTTCCTCATTTATACTGATATTATTACTGGTACACCACGTATTGAGAATATACAACAGTAGTGACAGATCTTCATCTGCTTCCGCTAATAGGACCAGATCTTCTGCATAGGCTAGGATACCAATTTTCTTATTTCCATCTACAGATATCCCAATATCCAACCTGTTGATTCTGTCGATAAAGGTCATTGATAAAGAGATTAAACAGAAGTGGGGAAAGAACACAGCCCTGCTTCAGTCCAGCATTTACAGAAAAGTAGCCAGTCGTTTTACCATTTATTTTCAAACAACTCTGTGATAGGTGACAAGTGACAAGTGACAAGTTTATTCGGTCATAAGGCCCCATGGCCCAAAAGCACATGGCAGTACATTTCAATATCATATGCATGACATCTCAAGTTGGCAGATTTCGTTTCAAGCATATGGACAGATTTTTTATATGTTTTGGGACTGTTAGACGTTAACAGTTGATACGATTTTTTCCTTGTAGGACATGTGAAATAAAACGGAGAGATTAGTTGCTCCCTTAGATGTATATAATACGGACAAACTAATACAAAGTGGTACTCATCTTCTACAACACTCATAGTACAATTAGAGCATAAAAGTTTGTCGGTATCAATATCATTATCGTACCTTAATTTACAAATCTTCAATTTATGGGACTGAAATCAAAATTTAGAAAATATTCGTAATAAATCTTTATGACTAAACAGTTCTATAACATATTGTCTAACAAAGATTTAAAGCTAGTATAAAGAGGGAAATCACTTCTTCCCGATAGTCTACCATGCCAATCCTTGAACTGTACACCCTTACAGCGTGTCGAAAAGGTATGCATAAATATGTCATAATTGCCCAAATCCTGAGATATCCAAACATCAGAAAAGCCCATCAAAAACAATAACATACGAACCCCTGTTACCCAGTTTACTTTACCATTACTATCAGTTCAACTTTAGCATTTCGTAGCACGCTTTAGGATTACGATCAGGTTGCATACAAAGAAGCATATGCCAATACCCGACACAGCGACTGAAATAACTTATACAAACTGGATATCTTCCAACATCGCCCAATACAACACGAGTCGGAGTCAATTTAGAAATATTCAAACACCTTTTAAAAAATACACTTTGGACTTTCTCAGTATCTCCTCTATAAGTGAAACCCCATATTTCCGAACCATATAATATAATTGGCATTATTTTGGTATCAAATATTTTCTGGACTACAACAAATGGGAGTGAAGGATAAACTTTAATCAATTTGTAAACTGCGTAGAAAGCCTTCCTAGCTTGAACTGAAAGAGTTTCACAAGCTTTAGACCACACTAATCTTAAGGAAAATACAATGCCAAGATATGTGTAGTAGGTGACGTATTTTAACCTCTTTACCCGAATAGTACCACTCCTCTACGCTCTTTAAACACCCTCCATTTCGAAAACCTATTATATTTGATTTATCTAAGTTAACCTCTAAACCCCACTTCAAACAATAATTATGTAAGAATCCAAATGTTGTTGTAACCCATAAACTGAATCGTCTACCAACACTACGTCATCAGCAAACAACAAGAAACTATCTTCAATTTCTTCAGTGACAAAAATACCTCTTAAACTACTATTTTAAAATTCTATAGCCCACTCGTTGATGAATAGAGTGTATAAAACAGGGCTTAACATACAGCCTTGGCGAACGCCGGAAGATGTTGAAAACGATTCAGTTTTACATCTATTCATTACTATACATGCCTTGACTTTACCATACATATCTCAACATACACAACTCTAAATGTTCTTATAGATGGGGGACGGTGGGGTAGCCTAATGGTTAAAGCGTCCGCTCAACATGCTGAAGACCCGGGTTCGATTCCCCACATGGGTACAATGTGTGAAGCCCATTTCCGGTATCCCCCGCCGTCATATTGCTGGAATATTGCTAAAAGCGGCGTAAACTCATACTCACTCACTCTTATAGATGGCTAACACTCAATGGGATATTTTGCCTTTTTGTCCTAAATCAGCTAGTTTGGTCCATAGTATTTTCCTGTCCACAGAATCATAAGCTTTCCGAAAGTCTATTAAAGCAGTAAATGTAGATTTTGATAGTGCCTTGCGAGTGTCGATAATTGACGTTAGCGTTGATACATAGTCAATAGTTGAACGTCCTTGTCGGAATCATGGTCATGGAGTATCCCTGTTTCCTCCGCCCAAACATTAAATCGGTCGTTTAGGACACAACATGTAATTTTTAGAGTAAAATTGATATTTTATACTTATCCTGACTCATGCTCTTTTTGCTTGTCTTCTTCTTCTTGCGAACATAGTGGAACACTTGTATCTCCCTAATTGAAGCTCCCTTCAATGTAAAATCACTAATTAGTACTCAGCACGAGTTACCTCCCTTCCACAAGCGCGGGAACGAGGGCGCCACCTCCACCCATGTGCCTCACTCTCTCCTCATATACTGAGCCCAACATTTGAATTTACAGGGAAATCCAAAGTGTTATGTGGGGAGGATGGGAGGGCTTACCTCATGAGTCAGGATAAGTATAAAATATCAATTTTACTCTAAAATTACATATTTTTCCTTATCCTGACTCATGCTCTTTTTGCTTGTAGACTCCGACGGAAAGGGAGGTGGGAAATATATAATACTTTGGATTTTAATAATTAGTGATTTGAACTGTGATGATTGTAATAACCCTATGGGAACTTCATAAAGGTACTGAACTGATGAATTCCTGCTGCTAACTTATCAGCTGCCATATAAAGGTTATTACAAAGTACTTATTATGATAAAGTATATATAACATTAATACAATGCTTAAGACTAATAGACTTAAGCTTGTTAATATGCTAGTATAAACTCCTTAGAGTTTGTTAGCTAAAATACTTTAAGATATAAACATAGTACTAAGCTTAAGATATGATTAAACTTAAGCTAATTATATAATAGCAAAACTCTTTAGAGTTTGTTAGTTAATATACTTATATGATATAGATATAATGCTGAGCTTTAGATATGAATAAGCTTTAGCTACATATATAATAGCAAAACTCTGTAGAGTTTGTTAGCTAATATATTTTACAATATGAGTATAGTACTGTGCTTAAGATATAATTAACTTAAGCTACATATATAATAGCCAAAACTCTATAGAGTTTATTAGCTTATAGATTAATAATGTAACCATAGTACTAAGCTTAAGATAAGATTAGACTTAAGCTAAATGTATATAGCAAAAAAAACTCCTTAGAGTTTATTAACTAATATACTTTTATGTTATAACCATAGTACTGAGCTTAAGATATAATTAAACTTAAGCTATATATATATAATAGCAAAACTCATTGGGTTTTGTTAGCTAATACATTTTATAATGTAACCATACTGCTTAAGATATGATGAAACTTAAGCTAATTGTATAATAGCAAAAACCCTTTAGAGTTTGTTAGCTAAAATACTTATATGATATAAACCTAGTATTGAGTTTATGAAGGAAACCTTAAGCTACATATATAATAGCAAAAACTCCGTAGAGTTTGTTAGCTAATATACTTATATGATATAAACATAGTATTGAGCTTTGAAGGAAACTTTAAGCTACATATATAATAGCAAAAACTCCGTAGAGTTTGTTAGCTAATATACTTATATGATATAAACATAGTATTGAGCTTAAGATTTGAAGGAAACTTAAGCTACATATATAATAGCAAAAAAAACTCCGTAGAGTTTGTTAGCTAATACAAGTTATAATGT